AATTTTATTTTTTATTTTCATTGAAACAATTTTTGTATTTATTATTTGACCCTCAAATGACCACGAAGCTAGCGTGATGGGGCTAACAGACCCCGGATTCGTAGTCGCGCGTTGAATAACATAGGGATATAGAAATTTAGTTCTATGCGCAGAAACTTTTTTTTTTGTGTTTTTTTTCTAGCAAGAAGAACGAAGTAACGTTTCGCTGAATTTTCTTAACAAGCACACCTTCTCTCTTCAATGTTGGTATACGGGTACATTTAGTTTGCAGCTTGCTTTAGAAATTATTTTCAAAGTTGTTTACAATGGCTGCTATGCAACAAAAAACAATGTTGGTGGTGGTGCTGGTTCCTGGACTTGAACCCAGTACTACACCTCAGCAACCGCCTCTATTTTTATTACTCGTAGTTAATTTTCACTAAGCCGTAACAGCAGTTAGTGCCGATTAGAAAAGGATATCACACCTTAAAGGGGTGAAATGCAATTAGACTTTTGGTGGAAATGTGCTGTTACGGCTGACATTGCTAAATTAATTATTTGGCGTCCTGCTTTGAACCAGGTAAAAGATTCTGTCGACCAATTTAAATGTGGGAGCATTCCATCATATTTCCAAGACAAGATGGAAATGAGAAAACCTTTTCTTGACACCTGTTATTATAGTAAATGGCTCTTTAATAATGATTTATTTATTAATATAAATAATAATAAGAGATTGGCGCTTATACAAATGTATGTTAGTGTTTGGCCGAGCTTCTCCTGATCACCATGGTTTATTTATTTTTCTGTAGATTAGTTCTGTATCCGACTGATTTTTTACTGTTATTTTATTTTTATTTTATAAATTGGCGTTTCTATCGAAATATTATGTATAGAAAGTCTTCATTTAAATTAATTTATTTGATAATATCGAGAGCTGCTATAACAAATATCGAAAATAATAAAAAAGAAAAGTGCACTATCTATGCAATGGAATGTGTGGCGAACACATAATTATATGCAGCGGTGTTGCCTGAACGCAAGAATGATAGAATACTAGATTCCGCCGATTGCAGCAGAATTCGTGAGAGTAATTTTGGCGTGACGTCACCGTAGAGTTGACAACTGAGAGCGGCAAATAAAACTGCTGTCTACAGAATCTGCCCCAGGTCGACAAAAATGATATCGTCCGATTCAGCTGGAACAAAAATGATTCAAACAAGTAAAATTTTCTCTGTATTATGGCCTCGAACCGACATATATACATCTTTCATTTGAATCAGTATTAAAAGCTCTATTGGCTCCTACATTCGGGTTTTGATAGGCGTTTTTTCCATATTTTTGGCCTATGTGCGCTTTTATTCGAAACCTAAATGTTTCCGTACCGAGTATCGAGAGTATTGGATACTTAAAAGTATTGACTCAGTGATGTGCTGTCATCTCGACTGTGACGTCGGCAAAACTGCTGATTCTGTCAAATTCACTGAGAGCCGATTAACGGTATTGCCATCGGCGCCACCTTCTGTGTTCTCTCCACCGTGAGCTGAACATTCCTTAGGTTACTCATACGCCCCAGCTCACCTTATACATAAATTGTTTGCGAAATGAAATACATATTTAGCATTTATAGGATAACTAAAAACTGTTGTATAGCTTCATTTACAAATGGCCAGGGAATTACGAGCTTTCAGCGTTTGAATTATGATTCCCCACTTTTGGTTACGTAAAATATGTAGCACATGCATGCATTCGTAAAGCTAGTGTACCTACTTTGTGGTGCAAAAAGCATGTGAAAAAGTAAAGTCGAAATTTTTATGCTCAGGCCACCTATGATTGTTCTATACCGAAAAAAAGTATATCCTTATTCGCTCAAAGCGCCCAAAGTTGTCCATGTATTTTATATGAAAAA